CCCCCCCCCCCCGACTTTTTATTTCTTTCTTTCCTGGTTTAACGGAAATCCTCAGAAAGGTAGATTGGAAAGAACTCATTAGGGCTTTACAGTTAGTGGGCAAGGAAAGCTGGTATCTACTCTGTGATTTTACCGCAGCCCTCCACCTAGAGCTACCTGGAAATACTTCAACTATAGTCATTAAAAGTCTAACGGACTCTTCTGTTTCAAGAAAGTCTTTTACGTTTTCTTTTGTTAAGCAGTTCTTGTCAGTTCTGCCCTGTATGCTGTTGACGATTACCATTTATATACCCTTCTGGCTTGGTGCGGTTGGTTCCGTTTTCCGTGTAACTAGACACATATGTATTCTGTAAAAGTCAGTCTCATAAAGGTATTCTCGTTTTTACTGTTGTTCACATGAGGATTGAGCGTGGCTGCCTTCTGGTGATACATTCAGACAGCAATATTTGTCTTGTTGAAGGAATATTTAGCTCTTTTTCTTTTGAATTTGTAGCATATGGATACGTCTATTTCTAGTAGAGAGCTCCCTTTTTAAACACATGACAAATAGTCTTTTTGATTTTTTTATTGTAGAACCAAACCATGTGCACTGTCTTAATTGGCGTTTCTTTTTCAATATAATTATCTTAAAACTTCAATCATTTAGATAATGGTTAAAAAGTACTCATACCAATGACTGCTATTGTGAGGTGAAGAAAACATTCTAGCATTAGATTGTGGTGATAGGTGCACAAGGCTGTGAATATAGCAAACACTTTTAAATTGTGCATGTTAAATGGAAGAATTTTATGTGGCATATGTGCATTATATTTCAATAAAGGTGCTTTAACAAGGTACTCATATACATATAAGGAGCTCTGGTAACGTAGTGGCTACGAATCGGGCTGCTAACCTCAAGGTCAGCAGTTCGAAACTACCAGCTGTTCTGCAAGAGAAACATGAGGCTTTCTGCTCCTGTAAATATTTATAGCCTTGGAAACCCTGTACAGGGTCGCTATGAGTCGGAACCGACTCCATGGTACTTAACAACAACAACACATATATACATCAGCTGTGGCGCTGTAGGATCACACTCAACTGCAAGGTCAGTTTGAACCATAAGATTGGTGTTTCAGACACATCAGCTGCTCCCTGGAAACCCTGTATACGGTCGCTCTGAGTCAGAACCGACTCAACAGCACTTAACAACAACATGTGGATTGTATTTCAATAAAGGTGCTTTAATACGGCACTCATATTACTATGGAGCTCTGGTAGCATAGTGGTTATGAATCAGGCTGCAAACCGCAAGGTCAGCAGTTCTAAACTACCAGCTGTTCTGCAGGAGAAAGATGAGGCTTTCTGTTCCAGTAAAGATTTAAAGCCTTGGAAACCCTGTACAGGGTCACTCTGAGTCGGAACCGACTCCACGGCATATAACAACAACAACATATTACTATATATCAGCTCTACCACTTAACTAGCTGGCTCTGTGACCTTGGGTAAGGAAGGTAGTTTCCTTTCTCTCATCAATGGGAATAATGAACAATGGTACTTTCTTGATGGGTTTCCTGTGAGAGTGAATTCAGCAAACACATGTAAAGAGCTTAGACTTGTCCTTTGGAACATAAATAAGTCTTCAAATGTCAATTGTTCTTGTCAAGTAGATGTGGCAAACCCACTACTGTTGAGTTGATTTCAGCTCATAGGGACCCTATTGTTGTTGTTGTTAAGTGCTGTCCAATTGGTTCTGACTCATAGAAACCCTGTGTAGGGTTTTCGAGGAGCAGCTGATAGGTTTGAATTGCCACCTTGCAGTTCAAACCCACTTTGCGGTCTAGTGCTTACCCTTCAGCGCCACACCAGGACTCCAATAAGGACCTTTTGTTGTTGTCTGTTGTTAAGTGCCATCAAGTCAGTTCTGACTCATAGCGACCTTGTTTAGGGTTTCCAAGGAGCAGCTGGTGGATTGTTGTTGCGAAGTGCCATTGAGTCTGGTGGACAGGAAAGGGTAAAACTGCTCCATAGGATTTCCAAGATCGCTTCATCTTTCTAATGTGGAGTGACTGGTGGGTTTAAACCACCAACCTTGTGGTTAACAGCCAACGCTTTACCTCCTGTGCCACTAGGACTCCTTAATATGGCAAAGGAGATTCAAAAGGAGTGTCCAGAGAGGTCAGAAGAGTTGTGGTGCTATGGTAGCAAAGGAGAAAAGAGTTTTCCAGGAGGGAGAACGTGACTACCAGTGTCAGTGCTGCGGAGAGATAAAACACAGTGAAGACTTGGAATTGTCCAGTGGATTGGGAACCTACTCTGAAGATAAGTTTGGCAGTCTGCGTCTGGAAAAGTCCAGCCTTGAAAACTCTGTGGAGCAGTTGTACTATGTACACGTGGGGCCGCCAGGAGTTGGAATTGATTCCACAGTTATTTAGTGAGTTTCTGCTATGTGGCGGGCACTGTTCTAAGGGTTAGCAGTGCAACAGTGAACAGAACAGAAAAGCCCTGCCCTAAAGGAGTTTACTTTCTACTGGGGAAAAGATAAGGCTAGAAAAGGGTACAATGCAATGGAGAGTGTGTGTTTAAAAAGGACTTACTTAAACTTCTTTAAGGAACCAGGGGGAGCTGTAGAGTAGAGGTGTAGTAGTTGACAATATATAGGGGAGTTAGGATAACTATTGGAACACAAAGCCGTGGGAGGATAGAGATCAAGAATATAAGTAAGTAGAGGCTAGCAGAAGAAGAAATCCCATTTTGAAACTAGAAGGAAAGAGCTGAGATACACACACAGGGCAATTTGAGGAACCTCTCTGGACACTCCATTTGAGGCTCGTTTGCCATATAAAGGAGCCCTGGTAGCACAGGAGGTTAAACATCGGACCTCTTGCTAACCTAATTTGAAGAAATGCCCACTAGATGACCCTACTTTTCTAAGGGATATAAGAGTGTGGTCACTTATATAGAGAGGAGTGAGGTAGGGGACTTGAGGAGAGTTGTGAAGCTTTGAAATGTACACTCTAGGGAAGTAGAAAGGCAGACGGAGGTTTGTGAGGTGGCCTTGGGGAATTTGTAATGCCAGTTCTCAGCTTCCTACATGTGGGATAGAAGAAAGCAGTTTCTGAAATTGGTCCTTAATTGATGGCCTTGTAGTCCTGATGTGGCACTGTAGGATAAGCACTGGACTGCTAACGGCAAGGTCAGCAGTTCAAATCAACCAGCCACTCCTCAGAAACCCTATCAGGGTTGTTATGCATCAGAATGAACCCTGTGGCACTTTACAAACAAACAGGACACATATAGAGCAAGTGTGGTGTTCTTTAGGATAAGCATTGGATTGTTAACTGTAAGATTGGTGGTTCAAACCACCAGCTACTCCGCAGGAGCAAGATGAAACTTTCTGCTCCTGTAAAAGATTTAAAGCCTTGGAAACCTTATCCAGGGTGCCTATGAGTCAGAACCAATTTGACGGCGCTTAACAACAACAGGACAAATATGGCAGAAAGGCAGAGTGGGTAGCAATTGAGCAGGCTAGTAAGAGAATAGGTTCCTTGAATGTGTATGGTGTTGAGACTTCATAGAGAAAGTGAGGCTAAAGAGTTTGAGAAACAGAGAATATGGGATCAAGAGAGAAGTTTCACAGAGCTGTGATTGTTGTTGTTGTTAAGTGCCATGGAGTCAGATCCAACTCACTGGGTTTTCCGAGGAGTGGCTGATGAGTTTAAACTGCCTACCTTGCTGTTCATACCAGTGTCTCGGTCCGGTGCATTATCTTCTAGCACCACACCAGGACTACAGAGCTGTGGTAGTGGGAGTTATTATTGTTAAGGGCTGTCAGGTTGGTTCTGATTTATAGCTTTCTGACAAGTGGCTGCTGAGTTTTGAACCACCAACCTTGCAGTTCAAATTGACTTTGCAATCATGCATTTTCCTGCTGTGCCACACCAGGATGGTTCAAACTCACCATTCGCTCCTCTGAAATCCTATACGGAGTCGCTGTGAATGAAAACCTACTTGACGGCACTTACCAACAAAAGACCAATAAATAACATCGTGATAAGTAGAGAAAGGACTGAAATTGTCAAAAACTTTATTTTGCGTGGATTCACAATCCATGCTAATGGAAACAGCAGTGGATTTTCCCCAAAAATCGATGTTTTGGGAAAATCTGCTGCAAAACTCTCTGAAGTGTTAAAGAACTGGGATGTCACTTTGAAGAATATGATGTACCTGACCTATTTTCAGGCACCTCAAGGACTCCATGATAGTAGGAGTGAAAGAGTGAAGATAAGAAGAAAAGGAGAGCTATTGTTATCTGAGGTGTGAGATGAAACAGCTGGTAGTAACAAATCCTAATGTGTCACCCTAGAGGTAGTTGGCTAATGTAGAACAGAGGTGATGATCTTAGAGCAGAGGAATTCTGGGCCTTGTTTCTGGATGGGCTGTTCATGTGGATGATGGAATTTCAAAGTACGGCATAACAACAACAACAACATGGCAAGAGTTGGCATGGAGAACAGTACTGAAAGCCAAGTTTCAAAGTCTTTAGTCAATGTAAGTACTGGGAGATCAGTGTTTGATAGAAATGATGAGAGATGGTAAAGGTCACTGGAGATAAAGAGGTCAAAGAACTATGAAACAGTTGAGGGGTGGGTTGTTTACTTGGAAATTGACGTTTCATCAGATAATGGCAGGAGATGGGGTGGACATGGTGCCAATGCCCCAGATAAATGAAGGGAAATGTCCAGTAGATTAGTAGATGACCCTGAGGATGAGGGGTAAAAGCTGGAATCTCCAGATGGTGTGAGCGTAAAGGGAGGAGGGACACTTAATGAGATTGCATTCCTGGCTGAACAATGGAGAGGCACGAGGAAGCTATCCACTATTAATCTGGGCTGTAGATACCAGGTTCACAGGGGAAGTCTTCCGAAGGGAGCTTCTTCTCAAGGAGGGCAGATAGTTGCCTAGGGAAGGTTCTCACAGAAGGATGTAGGAAGCTAGATTAACAAGGTTGGGGGACAGTGATTCTACAGGGGACACTTTAATCGGTGTGTTGACAAGGAGGAGGTAAGGTCATGAGTGTGGGTTAGAAGAAAGAAGCCCAGAGTGATCTGAGTATGAAGATATCAGAGAGGAGGAGTGGCCTGCTTTTTGGACTGTTGGATGAGAATCCGGGGTGAAGTCAATAGCCTTAGGGTTACCAGTTTTGCTTTTTTGGTAAAGGAGTCTACAGTGAATGCCATGTAAGCAGTTCAAAGTGCCATGGGAGGAGTTCTTGGCAATTCTCCCTCCCATCAGTCCTTTCCCTCTGCAGATAGTCTGAGCCTGACTAGAGTTCTAGGTGGTGGTTCTTAAGTGCCATCGGGTTGGTTCAGACTCATAGCAACCCTGTATATTGTGCTTCTTAATCTCCAAATCCTGATGTTTTTTCCAACGAATGTTAGTTTGCTCCGTACAAAGCACAAACTATAACAACTAACATGCTGTTTTAGAAGTACAGAGAAAATCCTTAGCTAAAGGAGCTCTGGTAGTGTAGTGGTTACAAGTTGGGCTGCAAACCTCAAGGTCAGCAGTTCGAAACTACCAGTGGTTCCATGGGAGAAAAGTGAGGCTTTCTGCTCCTGTAAAGATTTATAGCTTCGGAAACCCTATGGAGAGTCGCTATGAGTTGGAACCCAGTCCACAGCACGCCACCACCGTACTTGTTTGTGTTACTTTGTAATGTTGAATGTTTATTCCTAGGAGTGAACAAAGGTGTCATTTCTTCAAAATATCTTACGATCACTTAGAGTCCAAACCTTCCTTTCACTGGGTAGTTGGATGTTTTTATTCATTCAGCTGTCTATTTATAAAGAGAAGAAAAAAGAACAGTGACAAAATGAAAGTAAGCTATGGACTCAACGCATGCTTGTACCATGGACAGTTGTTCAACTGATTTTGATTAGATCTTATTCCTGATTATCAAATGGACTCCTAAACCAGGTCTGTAGAATTCATAGCCCCTGATGCCACCAAATTTAAAAGTTATTTTAGGGTAAAAGTACTTTAGAGGGAAATCTAGTGTTTACCCGATTGAGAACAAGTGAACATTGGTAAAATGTTATGTAATGTTTACTTTAGCAGAGGACACCTGGGTTCATTCAAAAGTCACTGTTTCTCAAGGTTAAGTAATTTGTTGTTATGAATTCTTAAATATAAATGTCTAAAACAAGCTCTTTTTGGAGGATTGAAGTGAGAAGATTCATAATCAAATTTATATGAAAGGGATTCCAGTGCAGTAGTTTTAGTAATCTCTATTGGAACCAGTTGCCGTTGAGTTGATTTTAACTCAAGGAGGTAATCCACATATGTCAGAGCAGAACTGTGCTCAGTTGGGCTGGTGGGGTTTTTTCCCCTTTTCTAAACATTTCATTGTGGTTTGGGTGAAAGTTTACATAGCACATAAGTTTCCCATTCAACAATTTATGCAATGTAACATCGCTCTTTCCACTTCCTCCCAGGGTCCCCCATTTCTCTTCATACTTCTTTCATACTCCTTCCTGCCTTCTAAACTTTGATTTGGGCCAAATAAATGCTGCCATTTGATCTTGTATGGTTGCTGTTTTGAGGAGCATGTTCCTCATGGGTGGTGTTCACTTTGGAGGTCTCTTGATTGTTTATTGAAAGGTTTATTGAATCCCTGGGGATTCCCAGTTCCAGATCTGAAGGGAATCTAAAGGTCATAGTCTCGGGTGTTCCACCAGTCTCTGTCTGACCAAAAATATGTTTATGTGTATGTGATTTTGAAGCTTGTTCTACATTTGTCTCCTGCTGCTCTGTTGAGGACCTTTATTGTGGCCCTCATCAGAGCAATCAGTACTGGTAGCCAGGTACCATGTTGTTCTTCTGTTCCTAGGGTCATGAGTGCTGTGGTTTGCGTGGTCTATTAGTCTTTTTTTTTTTTTTTTTCATTGTGAGGTTAATGTTTTATTTATATTTTTTATGTTTTATTGTGAGTTATATGATAGTTTACATGAGAGAACCTCAGTTCCATATTCATTCCTTCATATATCATTACATTGCCATGGTTCCAGTCCCCTCCATGCATCATCTTCCGACCAAAGGGCATATCCTAGAAGCCCGTGCTCTACACTCCCCCCTCCCCCCTCAGTCTTCGGCCCACAGTTCCTCTCCCTCTCTGGATCCAAAGTCCCCAGCCGCTTCATCCCTCCATGTCATCATCTCTGTCTCCATCTCAGGCATCCCCGGTTCTCTGGGTGGGGTCCCGTTCTCGGCTCTTATCCATTGGTGGTCCCAGAGACCTCTGCTCCTAGACTGGAGAAATAATCGCTCTCTTCCTTGCTACAAAACATCTACCCTTGCATTTCCAACACTCACAATTCATCTTGATAACCATTATTCACTACAGTATCGCAAGTAACCCATCTGTATTTCGTT